TCACTTGCTGCTTTTCTTTGTACATAGTTTTCTATGGTTTATATATAAGTATATGAACATACTGTACAGTGCATAAATGCATATATTGTTAGCTACACTCGCAAAGAATGTATTATTATGTGCTAATCGCTGTTTAACAACATGCACTTCATTTGCTACATTAAGAGACAATGCAAGTGCATCGGCAATATTTCTAAAGTTGTATGGCAAAACACAAGCCTACATATTAAATACCATATAACAAACATACTTGGTATGGTTTATTTTAAAAGTAATGTAAAACATAATTGTTATTAGCACTTTGAATCTGGTTAATAGTATGGTTGTGTATTCTTTCGTTAATTGTCTTTGTGTATGAAATTTCTGAAAGGCGAGCGATCTCACACACGCACAGCTTAGAGGGTACTCTGATGTACTGAACAGAGTTTGAGGTGCGAAATTGTTGAACTTAAATTCTGGATTTTAGATATTTATTTTTATTCTAGTAAGATGACATGTAGAAGTCATAAAATTAAAAATATGGAATGGTTATTTGTTTAATAATGAAACAATTATGAATTTAAGAGAATGAAAATAAACTCAAACATTTATTTTGTTGTATTAAACATTTCTTTCATCACAAGTTATTTAAGCAGTTTTGTTGTATGTATCAGTACGTTCACTTTAATTTGATAGAGAGAAAGATATAATTTCTTGTTCATTTACCAAGTTCCATTCTCAAAGTCCTGTAATTGGCATGTCAAGAGTTCTCATTAAACAGTCAACTGAAAACTTTTGCTTCTCAACCACCTCTTTACTGTCCAAAATCCAGAATGATCTTAAATGCAAACTTCTGAATCAATACCGAAGGAAGGGACAGTTCTTGAGAACAGAAAAAATTCAATTGACTGTTTAGTGAGTATTCTGTATGCAAGAATTACAAAACTTGAACTATGGAATTTTATAACTGAACAAGAAAGTATGTCTGTCTATAGAATTAAAAACAAAGTGATGTTGGGGGGGTGGGGGAATGAAGCAAATTTAATAACTTACATTGAAATAAATGTTTAATAAAGCAAACAAATAAATAGTAAGCACCCATTTGTTTGGGGAAATTTTAATTTTCTTAAGTACATAAATGATTTGTTATTTCATTTTTATAATTTCTGCCTGTCGTACTAGATTTAAATAGCTGATCTAAATGATCTAAGTGCAAAATTCAGAATTTCCAAAGTCCCGATGAGTCCAGATGTCGGACTTTGTATTGTTTACAGTCCTGGGTGATATTTTTGGATTTAAAATCATAGTACAGATTTTATTGTCTGTTGATTGATCACTGTGGCATTTTCATTGCAGTGAAGACTTCATTAATATCATCTTCAGTTTGTATTTCTGTACAGCTCTTCTAGTTGAACAATTTGCATTTTTTTTCCTGTTGAAGACATTTGCTCCCCTCTTTTTTTTTTTTTTTTTTTTTTTTTTTTTTTTTTTTTTTTTGACCTGTTTCCAGACTCAGAAATCACCATTTTGATATAATCTCTCGCTTTCTCTCTCTTTTTGTAATGATTTGCGTTTGTAAGGAAATACAAGTGGCTATTGTACTTCTTCAGGAAAGAGGTATGCTGTATAAAGAAAGACTATACCGGGTGCGTCATAAATTCGTGCAGAGTTAAAAAATTCGCAATAAAAGAAGGAATGCACAGAAAAATTTTCTGTTTGCGTCAATATGGTCAGAAAGACATTGCATTTTTTTCCATGTAAAATAATAATAATAATAATAATAATTCCAAAAGTAACTGACAGAGGGCGCTCACACATCATACTGAGATGTTTTATGCAAATCAGGCTATCAATAAAACACTTGGCTGGAAACATTGATCATTCAAAGCCGGCAGCATGCTTTCTTTACCAGATCGGGCATTGGTGGTTAAATTATTCTACAAGAATGGTGAATCCACAACTGTTACATTGCGAATGCTTTGCACGGAGAAAGAACTGAAGGTTAAAAAGCCCTATTTCATTGACTGGTATAATGAATTTAGTACGACATTTTGAGGAAATGCGTAGTTTGAAGGATCGTCAACGAAGTGGCAGATCACCCTTGAGAGTGGACACTGTCCATGTGGTACAAAGTGTCATGAAAGATATGGCAGCGGAGACATCAATGGGGAGTAGCAGTGCTCGTGAAGCTGAGAGAACGGAGCGTCTTTTATTCTGGGTCCTTTCTTTTTTGAAGAACTCTGTCCTGTATCCAGTGACCTGTACAGTCACTGCAGCATGGTATTTTACGCTTTTGCTTGACCACATTGTGCCTGCATTGCAGGAAAGACGTGCGTTGCCTGTTGTCACCTTTATGCGGGATGGTACTCCGCCCCACATTGCACACGACGTCAAGACGTTCCTGTTGGCATCTTTCACTGAAGACCGAGTGACAAGTCGCGGTTGTAAGATTCAGTGGCCTTCAAAGATCACCAGACTTGACCGCGGCAGATTTTTGGTTGTGGGGATACTTAAAGTCTCGTGTGTACCGTGGGATCCCCAACCACACTGTTGGAACTGAAAAATGCCATTCGACTGACCATTGCTGCCATCGATGTTACACTCCGCTGTAATGAGCGTAGTGACGCACCTCACTTGCCTATTACCTTGCGGTGGTGGTAATGTTGAACATCTCTTACTATAAAATAAATGCATAGTGTCATGTTATTGTGATCTGTTTGTCTGTTTTTGTTTGCGTGATTTGAATAAAACGTCTCAGTATGATGTGTGAGCACCCTCTGTTGGTTACTTTTGGAAAGTGGGTTTTTCTTTTTCTTTCTTTTTTTTCTTTTTTTCTTTTCTTTTCTTTTTTTTTTTTAAACATTAAAAAAAAAAAAAAAAATCCTATGTCTTTCTGACCATATTGGTGCAAACAGAAAAATTTTCCATGCATTCCTTCTTTTATTACGAATTTTTTAAATTGGCACGAATTTATGACACACTTGGTATTTAAATAATCATCTGATGAAATAAAAATGTGATCGAAGCTAAAATGGTGGTATTATCTGCCATTTCAACTTACAGCACATTTTGCTGTGAATTCATTGATTGACATTCATTGATTGAGTGCATTGTTATTACAAAGGCTTCAGTTGTATCATCTTTACTTAGAATTTCTTCACAAATATCATTAGTTAAAAAGTTTTGCTTTTTACTGGTGATTGAAATTAATAACTGGCTATAAACTGTGGCCAACATTTTGAAAAATATGTACAGACACGTCATCTCATGACCTTTCAGTGCTGAATACAACAAATTTTATATTAAAATATTTCAAGAATTTTTGGATGGTCTTATAGCTTCCATCGGTTTTAACTTTGTATAATTGCTTTATAACTGCATTTCAGTGCACGCTAAATTCCGGTATGCTGTTGGCTGAATGATGGATGTACTGTTTCAAAGAAACAGTAAAAGGAATCTTTATTTTACTTTTTCTTTAGCTAAAAATTTAGTTTTGATAAGACAAATAAATATTATAAGCAAATTGAGGGATTAGCCATGGGAAGCCCCCTCAGTCCCATCCTGGCTGATATCTACATGAATTATTATGAATCAAAATTGTTTGAAACTTTAAACTTCCCGGTATGGTTTTGCTGCGTAGACGATACTTTTACCCTGTTTGAAGGTAATAAAGGTGATATTTATATAAGGTTCTTTCAACAATGAATTCTATTAATCCTGATATTCAGTTCACTTTTGAACTTGAGACTTGCAATTCTCTTCCGTATCTCGACATTCTGGTCAAGCGTAACACATCCAACTTCAGTACTACAGTTTACCGTAAACCTTCATCAGTTTGCCTTCCACTACACTTCAAATCATGTCATCCGATTAAACAAAAGTTAGCTTCATTTTATTATGTTTTCCGTGCTCTTCAAGTTTGCTCCTCCAAACTATCCCTTGATGAAGAAACTAAATTATTTAAAAGCAATAGCTATTGACAGGGGCTTTTCACCCAACAATATTAATCAAGCAGTTAAAAAATTCTCATCTCAACACACTAAAAGGCACGCTCTTGTTTTAGGAGATTATAAAAATTCTGTTGTCGTTCCCTTCTTTCCATCAATTAGCTATAAAGTTGCACATATTTTGCAGAAATTTAACTTTCGGGTCGTTTACTCTCCCATCAATAAAATTCCAAGTTCGATACTCAAGGACTCCATTCCGGATATGAATTCCTGGGATTATTTATAGGATTCCTTGCCAGTGTGGTTTAATTTACATTGGCCAAACTTAGAGAGCCTTAAAATTTCGTGTCAAGAAACATGAGGCATATGTTAGAAAAAAGGAAACACAGAAGACTTCTGTGCTCAACATTGTTGGTCCGAAAATCACACTTTCAATTTTTCTGCTGCCAAATTTATTCAAAAAACATCTTCCATTGGAGAACTGGATTTTCTAGAGGCATTTCACATTCAAAAAAATCTTTCTATTCTAGTTAACAATCCTAATTCCAATCCATCTTTGCCTTCGGCCTTTACAGAAATTATGTTTTAGTTCTGGTTTCACCAACAGATGGTGCCACTAGCTTATTTTCTGTCCAGGCTTTCTTATCTTATCTGATCATTATATCCTATCTTGTTCATTTGCATTTTTGCAGCTGAGGATGGTGGTTCGGTAAAACCATCAAAACTAGTCCTGTGAAAATTTGAAAGTATAACACTGATTGTTGTTGTTTGACTTCTGAATTCGTATTTGTTCGGCATGTTATTGTGTCTTAATCTAAGGGATGGTTTCGGAAGTTGTGTTTCATACCATAAATTTATTTGCTTACAGCTTTTTTACAAGGGACAGTTTGAAGAATTGTGGAGGATGAGAAGTTATGAAAATTTTGTAGTATTTTTGTTCTTTTAAATGATCCTGAAAGAATAAAACAAAAATTGTGCTTTATTATTATACTAGAGGTAATTGCTTTACTAATTAAATCATAAATTTTGTATATTTCATTCATAATTCTTATGAAAATCTTATTACTCATTTAGAAAGGCTGAGCAACAAAATAGGAAAGAAACTGCGAAAGAAAAAGAAAGACAAAAAGAAGAAAAATTGAGTGATGTAATGTTTTCAAATCTTCTTTAAAATGTTAAAGCATTATGTAATCAATTTTAGTATTTAAGTATAATATTTTTCATTACTTTTTGTTAATTTTATGTGAGATTTACATATTATCTTGAGTATAAAATTAATTTGTAGAGAAAATTTCTCATAAAAATGCATGAGTTTTTTATTAATGTAATTTTTTGCAGCACGCATTTAAAGATCTGTGTATTTTATGTTGTCTTATTAGTGAAAAAAAATTTTTTTAGACAAAATTCTCATAAAGAAAATGGTAAAAGAAAATTCTCGTAAAAAAAATTAAAGAATTAAAATTTAGAAATAGTGAAAAATGTTGACTGTTAATAAGTTTTTTTTTTTTTTTTTTTTTTTTTTTTTTTTTTTTTTTTTAAGACTGCTTTTTTGGAAGCAACATGTGCTTCAGATATACAATCAGATGAGTGATTGCAAGTATAGCTTAGTATAAGAAACATATCTTCGACAAGATCTTCTTTGATAAAGAACCGTAGATGCGATTTGATTTTCACCCAATCAAATTTATAATAATTTTATTTTAATTGTTAAGAACATTTTAATTAAAAAAAAAGAAATTGTTTCCACATTCAGGAAATTACTGGACAATCAATGTCAAAGAAAAGAGCAACATCTTTGATGCTTTAATGCGTGTGATGGTAAGCCAGTACTCAGTATCTGCCATTTGTCTTCTTTCTTGAAAAAGAAAGAAATCTGTCATGGGAACGTGAATATCATCAATATTTGTCCTAAGAAAGTTGTAAGCACTTTGTATCAGCATTTGAATGAACCACCTCTAACCCTTGAAAATGCTGGCATCTTCAACCACAGCCTAAATGGTTGTAACATATGTAATTTGCATACCATTCCTTCACAGAGATTTTCTGCCAATCAAATTTATGTTAATTTTATTTTCATTGTGTTTAAGAACATTTTGATTTAAGAAAAATTTTTCCCCCTCATCTTTCTCTAGTCTCTACATATAATAAAAGAAAGAGAGTGTGTGTGTATGTGTCTTTTGTTTGCGTTGCGCGTAAGCTAATAGACCCACATCTATGAATGGTACATAGATGTATCTAGACAACAGCCAGTGCACCTCAAAGCGATTTTTTCGAAATTCGAATTAGAATTTTTTTTAATTTTATGTTTTGTGATGAAATCACATCATTTTGAGACATAAATGGGCTATAGGAAAGCGAGATTTTACTCTACACACTACATTTTCACATCGTCATGAAATGCAGGCACTTAGCTATTTTACGAACTTAAAATAAATTTCGTATTTCAATAAATCGATTAAATATGAATTTATTTAACAAAGTGAGCCTAACACCTTTTCAACTGGATTTTTTCTAAAAAAGTTTATTTTTAAAAATGTACAGTTTATTTTTCTTTGATTTTTGAACACGTTAAACTTTCATCCTTGCGGCTGCTTCTACAAAAAGAATTTTGGAAAAATGATAATATTTTGTATATTAAAAAAAGTTTTTAAATGAAGCTTCCGAGTACACTTCTCACATCTTTAAAAATGTGATTTTGGCAACAATTTTCCTTTCTTATTATTGTTGATAGATTTTTGATGAAATCGCATCATTTTGAATAGTTTCGTTCTTTTAGAAGTATGGGTTTGGCAACAATTTTTCATCCTATTTCTTATGTCACTGTTTTTAAGAGATTGGCATATTCCATTGCCATTATTTACATATATAATACATTTTTTTTAATAAAGTTGTACTGCAGATTAAAATTCTGCGCAGAATTTTTTGTTTTTTGAGTTTCTTTCATGTTATTTTTTGCTTATTTCACTGTTTGTAAGGTATTGAAAAGCTTTGCATGATGTTTTTTTCTTCAACGGAAAGTTGGTTAATTTTTTATTAGGATAATTAATATTAGTATTAAGGGATATAGTTATTATATATTTATTATGATTAAGATGAAAATAATTTAATTTATTTGAAACATATTTTACTATCAAAGTTATAATTAGGAATTTGAAGCTTGAAATTGTGTTGTAATTAAAAATACCAGCATACCAAACGCTAAAATCGGGAGAATGCTTTTAAAGAAATCTTGAGAATTTTCTTAAATGTTAAATCTCTACATATAATAAAAGAAAAAGTATGTGTGCCTTTCGTTCGTAACTTCGCATAAGCTAATAGACCCAGTGCTGCAAAATTTGGTATATAGGTGCATCTAGACAAGAGCGTTTTTTTTTCATAATTAGAATCAGTTTTTTTTTACTTTATATTTTCAATTTTATCGCATCATTTTGAATAGTTTCATTCTTATTGAAATGTGGTTTTGGAAACAGTTTTACATTTAATTGTATACTGGACTGCTGAATGTTGAAAATAAGCACTGTTGCCACTTGGAAAAATGAGGGCGATAAGTCTATGCAGTTTTTAAATTTGATGTTTCTCTTGGATACTAAATGAATGTTTGTCGAGAGAGCGCAAAGCGAATGTGGTTAATTTATTTATTAGAATAATTAATATTTGTATTAAGGGATATTGCTTATTTCATCGTAATTTTGTTATGTGTAATATATTTTTTTTTTTTATGAAGTTGTTCTGCAGAGGAAAATTCTGTGCACTTTTTAAATTTAACTTTTGGTATTCCCTTCAGACATTTTCTGGTACATTTAAGAGCCAGACGAAGGCTTGCAGCGTAGCTGCTAGTTTTCTTCAGTAATAAGGAAAAAATCTTACATGTACACCACATGACTTCCTTGTACGGAATATTAAATTATATGCAATTTTTTGTAATATAATAATTCCTAAAGTTAATTTAAACTTTGTTGAATTTCATTAGAGATCTATTTCTTGTTGAATTAATTCATTTCCCGCTTCGCAATAAGCCAAAAATACATAAAAACATAAAAATACCTTTATTTAAAATATGAAACACCAAATACTGTTAAAAACAATTAAAAAGCAAGTTTCAATTAAAATTAGAGAGGTGCTTACCCCAAAACAAGCAATATAGCCAGCAGGCAAGAAGGCAGAATTTTCGGTGCAACGAAACTGAAAGTTTACTTTTGATCCCATTTGACAAAAAGACACTGAAGTCGCAGAAACTGACTTAATTCACTATTCTGCTAAGCTTCAAATGTAAGTAAATATGACTGCTATGGTAAAAAAAATTAGGCTTAGCACACTTAAATATCTTTTTAATTGTTAATAATTCTACAACTATTGCTTGCAGATTAACTAAAGGCATAAAACTTAACTGAAAGATAATAATATAATTCACTCATTTTTTAAAGCAAGAAGTGCACAATTTACCAACATATAAGAATAAAAAAAAAGCTCAGTTCATGGAGCAGTGTAACAGAGTGCTATATGTATATTTACTGTTTTTTTAAAAAAGGTATGAAATTAGCCTGAAACTGTAGCTGAACATGTAATTCTTTATTGAAAAGTTTAATTTCATGTATTTTGCGTTAAAATCATAGCTTAATATTTGATTCCTTATTCTAAATTTTAATTTAATATATATAACATTTAAATCATTTTACAATTATTTTAGTCACTTAAATTATGCATTTGATTTTAAATTGCATTTGTAATATTTGAATCCTTTTGAAGTTACATTATCAAGTAGTTTGAAATTTTGAAAATTAATATCATAACTGCAATTATTGCAGTTATGATATTATTTGACATGATTCATGAAAGTATGTAAATCAAATTATCTTTTATTTTCTCATTTTCTTCGCAGTCAGCATTCAAAAGGTTTTTAAATTTTTCAAATAGTGGTAGATTTCACATATTGCTGCTTTTTATCAAAAATATAAATGTCATTTATAAAAAGAGTCTTGTTTTTCATAGAGAATGATATTAAGGTGCCTTAACTTTGTTATCTATTTTGATTATGTATACATTTATTTTTTATTCTTATTTGATTATATTCATTTTCTTATTTGATTTTGCTGTTATTATGAACATCACTTTTATTGTTGCAGCCATTTTTGAGTACTGAAATCAAACTTGGCAAGAATTTAAGTTGTTTAAAGAAAAAGAATTCCCCCAAAAATGCTGTGAATAAGCGACCCAATAAGAAGACACAGCTTATGAAAAGTGTGTTTGTACCTGTGTTGCTGTCAGCTTTGGAAGATGATGAGAAAGGGGATGTTATCTATGAGTAAGTTATATTCTTTAAAATGAAAACTTCGAGCTAATTTTTACATCCTATAATAAATTTTAGTCATTTATGAATTTTTTAAAATTTGGATAAGGATGACATTTACGTAGGTGGCTTACATACAAATTAGTAATACTAACTTGAGAATTCTCTGTGTGCAAGCAGTTGATTCCGTAATTAAATATCATTAAATTTTATAAAATGTACTGAGAAATATTGCTTAAAAGACACATGAGAGAAGTTCTAGGATTTTTATGGTATGAGAAAGTAAATGTATTATTTACATTACAGCTCAGTAAAAAAAAAAAAAAAAAAAAAGATAATATTGCAGTATTAGAAATAAGGAGTGTATGCAAAAAATATTTGCATTTCATTTGCAATGCTTCTAATTTATTTAAAATGTTGAAGAACTACAGACTGGTTGTATCATATCCATTGGTGGAACAGCAACATAATATTCTAGATCCAACCTAAAGCAAACACTTTGGCCAAAGCAGTCACATTTGGTATTAAAAAATGCAGTCTACTCTTGATTATCTGGGCTAATGCCAGGGTAGCAGGTTACAGATAATTGAAAAACACGAATAATGCAAACTATGAATTTTCATGCATATTCCGTGGGAACATTTAAATATTTTTCAAATTTCATTATCTATTTTTCGAAGTGCCATTTTATCATTTTATTCATATCCCCTTTAGTCTCCATAGTCAAATAGAATTTCAGCAGAAGTCATTGATGTGTCAGAACTAATGTAATAGTCAGCATCTTCTTCACTTGAATTTTTAGTATCGCTCTCTACCTCTTCTGTTCTTGTGACATAAACAATATCCACATCACTCAAGCATTGAAAGTCTTGTTCTATTAAATGTCATGGGATCATTCCTCGATGTTTCCCTAGTTAACATTTTTGAAGGATTTTACATTTCGAGTTTTTTGGCATACAATTTTAATTATTGCCTTGACTTCTTTGCAATTAGGCAGTCTTAAATTTCTTTATTAGGAAAAATCTTTCTCCATGCTGAAATGTGCGAATTAATTTTTTACACACTTTCGCTCATAATGTTGAATGTGTTTGCGTGGCCACCATGCATGGATTATCCCCAAACTGGATAATTGAGTGCATAGTACTTTTAGGTATAAATTGTTATTATTGGAAAAACCTAATCCTAATATAAAAATTAATTTAATGAGACAAATAATGCGGTTTTACATCTTTCATTTCCCTTAATTTCAGGGATTCGTCTTGTAGAGTAGGGATACACAACCTGTGGCCCATGAGCGGTCAGCTTGTGGCCCGCCGAGAACTCTTCAAACATTTATTGCAATTTGACGCATCAGCTGTCTCTAGAAGGGGTTGCGAACAGAAAACATTTCATCCCTCCCCCCCCCTTCATTACCTGTTCTGCTCTCTCCTTTCGAAATGAGATTCGACATTGAGCCAAGTTCCCAGCATCAACCAAAGCAAGTTTCACTGCATGAGCCTGAAAACTGCTCCTAGCTTGTATTGAGCAAGGGGTCTGCTGTATGGCGTAGCACGAGTATGTTTGCATGCATGCACTAGTAAAAAGGGAGAGAAAAATATTTGCTCGAATCAGAAGTGCTGCATTCATTTGCTTTGCATTTCTGAACTTTGTGCTTTGTGACTATACATTGTTTTCCTGCTTATATGTTTGTTTTCTTTTCAAAAACATTAAGCAGTTTCTTGTTTTTAAATATTATTTTGAAAGAGAACGAATGTAGAGTTTTTGCCATTTCTGTTCCACGTGGTTTTGGTAGTTACTTGCCATGATAAATGGATTGAAAACAAAAAGAAAGGTAGCGAATGATAACAGGAAATTTTCGGAGGCCTGGACTTCAAAATACTTTTTTGAGGAGCAAGACAATACAGGACATGCTTGATATGTATTTTTTTCTGATAAATGTTTGCAAGGAGTATAATATTAAGTGACACTATGCCACGAAACACTCAACATTTTCAAAGCTTGAGGGAGAGGATCAAAATCATAAAATTGAAGCTCTTCGCTGTTCTCTCGTTGCACAAAGGAATGTATTTACAAAGGCATCTTCACAGTTAGTTAACTGTGTTGAAGTTAGTTTGAAAATCGCAGACTTAAATGCTAAAAGTGGCCGCTCATTTACTGATGGTGATTTTGAAAAGGAGTGTATATTGTGGGCATCCAAGAAAGTATGCTCTGAAGCCACGAAGAAATTTAAAAATATGAGTCTCAGCAGAATGATAATTTAAAGAAAAATTGAAAATTTATCTGATGATGTTAAGGAACAATTACAGATTGCTGCCGCCAAATTTAAGTTCTTTAGCAGCTGATCAATCAACAGATATCACTTCAACAGCTCAGCTACTTTTGTTTGTTAGAGGAATTTCTGAAAATTTTGAAGTAACTGTTGTAAGGAGTTCAGTGAAGGGATGAACAACTGAAGCAGATATCCTTCATATAAATTTGTGTTCTGCACATAATTTTGAAACTAACAAGCTTGTTAGTATCACTACTGATAAAGCTCCAGCCATGATTGGAATTCAGAATGGCATTGTGGGTCTACCGAAAAATCATTTGGATGATCGAAACAAAGATTTGTTTGGGTATTACTGTATCATACATCAAGAACAGCTGTGTGTGAAAGAAGTAGGATTTGGCCACTTAATGAAGGTAGTGAGCTTTCCGATCAATTTTATTCTCTCACATGTTTTAAATCACAGGCAATTTAAAGAAATCCTAGAGCACACAGATGCACCACATAATAGTCTCATATATTTTTCTGAAGTATGGTGGTTGAGTGATGTAGAGGTTTTAGAAAGGTTTGTTGATTTTATTGATGAAATAATACCATTCTTTGCAGAAAAAGGCAAGCAAACTGGGATGTTAAAAGAATCATCTTTCAAGTGTGATTTAGCATTTTTAGTTGATGTGACAGCCCATTTAATGACTAAACAAACGATTGATGGGAGAAAACCAATTCATCAATCAAATGTCCAATGCATTAAGTATTTGCTTTCAAACTAAAACTCCAGCTGTTCTCAAAGCAGCTTGACTGTCAAAATTGTGCCAATTTTTCTTACCTGAAGAAACTCAAGGAAAATTTTCCTGATGATAAACAACTGGATTATTCAGGTCAAATAAAGATACTGCTTACTTCATTTGAAAAGCGATTTACAGATTATGAGTTGCATAAGGTTCAATTTAAATTGTTTGGAGATCCATTTTCTGTTGTAGTCGAAAAAGCTTCAGGCGATGTTCAAATGGAACTTAATGATTTACAAACTTCTGACTTATGCAAATCCAGATTCCGTAATTTAGATATTCTTGACTTTTATAAAACTCTGCCGAATTTTTGCACTTAAAAAATAGTGCAAGCAGATGTGCTACCATGTGTTATAGTACTTATATATATGAACAATCATTTTCTCTTATGAATCTAAATAAGTCAAAATTATGAAATAAAATAACAGCTCAGCACTTGCAATCTATCTTAAGAATATCAACAACTAGCTTTTCAACCAAATATATCAAAAACTGTTGATGAAATTCAGTCTCAACCATCACACTAAAATATTTAACTATAGCTAACTCGTACACATGTTTGATAAAATATTTACATATTAAATTAGCCACTCAGATGGTATAGTAGTTAGGAAGTTTGACTGTGATACCGAAGGGCCCGGGTTCAAATCCAGGAGAAAGCATGGATGTAAAATTGTCTAAACCCTTCATAGGAGGTAACAATGACCGCCTATTATGTGTCTCACAATAAAATGGTCACCACTTCTGGCCTTAGGAGTGGCCAATGCTATTATAAGGAAGTGCCCGCCGTTTGGGGAGGGGATATTAAATTATCATGCACAAACACAAACTGTAATTTTTTTTCCAAGCTGAATTGGGTGTGTTGGCCCCAGTAGCACATGCTAGAAGAAAGGGAACTTCCCTCCCTCCTTGCTTACATACATATGTAATGGTCTCCAAATTAGTTTAAATTTGATATGGTACATGTCTGAATTGCAAATGAAGCAGCTTATTGCGTAGACACCCCTTCCTTTTATTTCCGCATACACTATTAGCCCTCAGCAAACAAGTAATTGAAAAGGTTGTGCAGTCTTGTTGTGTAGAATATTCTTAAAAGTACATGTAAATGACTATTGGTGATGCTTGTTTGTTAAACACTTGCGTTGATATTCATCATAAAAAAATTTTAATTCACTTATATAGGTTTATGCAAAATAGCCAGCATTTCTCAAGTAAAATTTTTAAATGGTTTGAATTTGCCCAAATAAAAATTACTATGAAATTTGTAGACTTCTTCATAACTGTACAGTTCTCTTAAATCATTATCACACTGCAGATCTATATATAATTCAAGTCGTCGCTCGTTTAATGTGCTGTAGGTTTCTGTTAAATTTAGTCTTATCATAATATCTGGCAATTTTCTGTATGTGATTTTTTACTCTTCTTACTTTACTCTTACCAAATTTTTACTTTCTCACTAATGGATAAGGTGTGTTACAGCCTCTTATCAGCTTAAAAGTGCTGGCAGTATCACTACTCTTACACTTTGAACCCATTATTATATAAATAAGAAATTTCTGAGTAAAAAAAAAGTTGGTGAAAATGTCGCTAGTGATAATTAGGAGATTGTTAAAAGCCGAGCAGTATTTAATTGGACGAGAAAATCTTGTACGCTTAGTGAAGGAGAGAAGTTAGGTGCTTCAACACTGATAGTCTTGATCTCTGTTGACATTTTTATAGTTACTGGGAAGGAGATAAATGAATTAATAAAGGTTTGGTTCCGAGGAATCATCTGTAACCTGAGGCTCTGAAGTTGACTATTTTCTTCCCCCTATTTCATTAAATCTATTTGAAAAGTGTACCATGTGCATAATCTTATGATTATTACAGGGAATATTTTACTTATTATTTGTGTGACTGAATTTCATATTTGTCCATATGCTGTTTGTCACTTGGCATATATTTAGAAGCTCCAAAGGCCTTTTTTTCTCCATTGTATATTGCAGATATTGAAACAGCAGATACAGTGGTTCAACTGTAGCATATCAAGAGTATGAAATATGGTAAAAAGTCCAAGATTCGGAATCATTGGGACTTCTGCAATTGTGGAAGTGTAGTTAGATCTGCTTAGTTTAAATCTAGTTAAAAACAGTTGTGTATGAAGCAATGAAGCATTAGTGACCTTACAGGAATCAAAATTTGCCAAGGGAAAAAAAAAAAAGCTGTATTTATGTGTTTGTTTAATTAAATACTTCTTTCAGTGTTAGTTTAAGGTGTTTCATTTATGTACTAAAACCTTTCTCTTTTAATTTCATAAACAGACGTAATTTCTTTGCTCAGTTACAAATCCTGAAATTGCCATGTTGAGAATTCTTATTAAACTGTCAGTTGAAATCTTTTCATTCTCTACAAATTATTTATCACTTTCTTCACTATCAGTAGTGATATTAAAAGGCCAGGCAGCAGATTTTGTTGTCTATTAGTTGATTGTTGACTGGGATATTATTGTCGCAATGAAAAACTTTTCTTATATCCTTATTTATCATCACTTTCCCACATTTATTCCTAAATTTCATTTATTGGGAAACTTAATTTTTTGCTTGCGATATCTGAAAAACAGGTTTGATCAAGGGTGGAAAGTGTGATCATAGCCAACGTCAATCAGTGTATTGTTATTGGTCACAGCATCATTCGCTAGCTTGAGCTAGCTAGTGTTTGAAAGTGACATATAGGGATTTCAGTTAGTTGGGAGGAAAATTGCTTTTACAGTACACCTGTCTTTTTCTAGAGTATTATATTCTCCATTCCTAGGCTTTGTGTAAAAAAATTCTAGTCTAGATTTTGGATTTTAAGGTGTTTGTGAGAAACGTTTTGACAATTTGTAGGATATGGTACATTAAAGGCTTGTTTACCATGTTACTGATGATAAACATAATTTTTTTATTATTTTTTTTATTTAGTTTTATTTTTATTTGAAAGCAAGTGATTTCTTCTAGTTTTACATTCTATGTGATATCATACAAATATAGTATCTTGCCATTAAAAGTTGAAACAAGAAAAGAGAATAATCAGCTTATACTGTATTTTTATGAAATGAGCATGTTCATAATATCTATAAGCTTTGTACATTAAAGCTACTACTTTCACAACATTTTTTCTCTCTTTTATAATAGTATTGTTTTAGTCACATCAGCTTACATAAATGCTATTTCAAAAAAGCAATGCTGATTGCATTTGCTTTCAAAATTGTTATTTCTTGCTATGCAAAATCAATATTTATTTAACTATAATGCTTCATGGTAGGCTTGATCAAAGTGTGCAAGATGGTTATGTAATATTTCTTGGCTTTTAAGTTTCCAGATTTGACCACTTGTACTTTCTTTCTTCGGAGAGTCATTAAATAAATTTATTTTATAGTTTGAATTGAAGTTTAAATAGTAGTTTATAGGCTTACTAAATGCTGCTTTTACTTTTAAATCTCAGGTTTGCAACTGCTTTTTCCAGATTTGTAAATCACTTTTTTATTTTCCTCCCTAGTACAAGAGGAGAAATTGTGGGACATAAGGGAGATTTTATATTAAATAGATGCACATTAACTTCTTCTGGTTGGTTGTTGTGCTGCCTACTATGAACAGAGATCTGATACCTTCTGACCCTACTGCAGCTGATTATATTGAGGAAGAATCAGAAAAGGAAGATTATTGTGATACTGATGATGTGATGCCTACAGACAGTGGAGATCCTTCACCTTCCCTTGACGAAGGTCTTGGAACAGACCCTAAGAGTGTTTCTTCAAATTCCCAAAATGTATCACCTGATGGTTGCTCTGTTTCAGCTTCCAATGATGAAGGTGTTGGAACAATTGGCAGCCCTCAGTCTTCAGCAGTTTCCAATTCTCAGAACAGGGATTCAGACCTCACACCATGTGATCAGCCTTTGGCTTCATCTGCAGGACAAAATGATACAAATCCAGGCCTTACACCTTCTGATCAACCTCAAACTGAAGAACAAGAAGGTATGAACATTTATGTAGATTAATACTACTGTATCATAAATGTAGTTTTTAATATTACTTGGCCCCAGATGTGCATTATGTTTATTAATGTTTATATTCAGATCATATTAAAATATGTAATATGTCTCTTGTAATAAAATATTGTATTCTGTTTCAGTAATTCTGCAGTTTATGTTAAAAAGATTAATTCTCTAGGAACATGTAGTAAAACTTAAGTGGTGAGTTGAACATTAAAATCACGAGCAAAGATCTGATAGCTTCATATAAGCAAATTCAAAAGCATATTGAAGGTAGTCAATATAGGGCAATAAAAGTTGCATCTTTCTAAAGTCACATTAGAAAGATGCAGGCTGTTTTACTGAGCTAGAGCAGTAAATCAGCTTGCATAACTGTTACTGTGAATGTCAGTAAATAATCATGATGTAACTAGTGAAAACAGCAATGATAGCTTATACGGAATGTTTCAGTACAGTGTGTACGAACTTCTCAGGACCATGTTGCTCAAAAGATGGTTCGGAATCATATTGTTATGCAAATTTACAAACACTGTATCATGTGTTTGCACAGGACTTGAAAAATGAAACAGCAGATTAGTGAAAAGTAGTCTTAGTACACAGTACATACAAAGGCATATAAGTCACAGAAGGTGTTTGAAGCGGCATCCACAAGATGTAATACCACCTGTGCACTGTGATAGAGGAATGTTAAATCAAGGATGTCAAACTCGCGGGCCGCATGCAGCCCACAACAAATATTTTTGCGGCCCGGCCAATATATCGGCAAATAATAATATATAATAATAAAATAACATATCGACGAAGAAAAAAATGAAATGTTTACTGCTAAGTAATTAACGATAATTTATTCAGTGTTGTTAGATTACTCACAGCGAGCTGACACACACACTACTTAAATTACAAATGCGTGTGAGTAGCTTGCGTTCAGCTACCTTCGGCTTTTGGGGGACACGTGCACTCAGAACTTGTACGCATCCCCCGATAGCCGAATGTGGCCGAACTCATGGTCTCAGTTTTCCAATCATAGTTTTGTACGATATATTGGTGCATGCATGTGCATGCACTTTGCTTTATTATTAATTATTACTTAATTCATATTGTTACGGATTTCATAGTTATTTATTTATTTAGTTTTTTTTATTTAGAATTGTAATTAGATTTGCTTCATGTTGCCTTAGCAACGCAGACGATTTTTGAAAAGACAGCTGCGTTGGAAGGTTAAAAATAGAACAGCGCGTGCATTTAATACCTAATAAATAAATATCTCGTAATTGCTGTTGCCATCCACAAAAATCCAGATATTTATAGATGTTTCCAGTATATTCGAGAAATTAATTATAAAGCTTATAAAAAGCCGAGAACAAACAACTCATCTCAGTAGTAGCTGTAGTTCTAGCGAACTGTTTGTTTACTTAATGCTGTGATTGATTTGTAGCGATTTCGCTGTGAGATAGAATTAGTTTCTCTGTTTTGAATTGATTTTTGCTAAACGTTTGACATTTTGTGATATTGTTAGAATATTTTTGAAGAAATATTTCAGCATTTTGATTTATCTCTTGTGGAAAGAATAAATTTTTGTTAACTTTTTAACGTTAACCGTGTTTATTCCAGCCCTTTGTATTCAGTATGTCTATATCAAAACCAAGTGGTAGTAAAATTAAACGAAAAATCGCTGACGAACATAGAATATTCCAAGTAAAATGGGAATTAGAATATTTTTGCTGTGAAATAAAAGATAAAATAATCTGCTTGATATGTAATAATACTATTAATGTACCAAAGTTATATAATATTAAACGTCATTACGAACAACACAAATCGAAATATAACAATTACGAAGGATTAATGAGAGAAGAAAAGTTGAAAGAGCTCAAGTTAGGAGTGAAAAAGCAACAGTCCATGTTTAGTAAAGTATTGCAAGAAAGTGAAGCGGCGGTACATGCAAGCTACGTCTTGTCCGAGTTGATAGCTAAACATTCGAAGCCTTTTACTGACGGTGATTTCATCAAGGAATGCCTAATGAAAGCTGGAGAAATTGTTTGTCCTGGAAATGTGAAGGCTTTTCAATCAATTTCATTGTCTCGAAATACAGTTGCGGAAAGAGTTACTGATTTAGCCGCGAATTTAAGTGATCAGATCAAAGCAAAATCATCTAGTTTCGAAAGTTTCTCCATTGCCTGTGACGAGAGCACGGACATTAGTGGCAAAGCTCAATTAGCAGTGTTTCTTCGTTCTTGTGACAAGAATTTTAACATTTTTTGAGGAATTACTGGAACTAATACCGATGCCTGGTACTACCACAGGAGAAGATATATTTACTTGTGTTTTTGGACTTCTGCAGAAATACAATCTACCTTTGGCAAAATTAAATTCTGTAGCTACAGATGGCGCTCCATCAATGACCGGGAAAAACAAGGGCTTCGTAGCATTACTAAGAAAAAAAAATTAGTGAAATTCACGGTTCAAACATTCATCATATGCATTGTATTATACATCAAGAAGTTCTATGCACGAAAGTAATAAATATGGAGAATGTTTTGTCATATATAAAAAAAGTTATAAATTTTATAAGATCTCGAGGTTTAAATCAGCGTCAATTCACTGCTTTCTTAAGCGAGTTAGATAGTGAATATTCGGGTTTGTCCTTCTATACCGATGTATGTTGGTTATCTTGCTCCAAGATTCTCAAACAATTCTGGGATTTGAAAGAAGAAATATGTCAGTTTTTAAAAACGAAAAATCAAGACGTAAGTTTGTTTTACGATCCAATATGGATACAAGATTTATCTTTCTTGGTTGATATAACCAAAACACTTAACCGATTTAAATTTATCGTTACAAGGAAAAGATCATATCATTACGAACATGTTTGACATAAATTAAAGCATTCAAATGTCAACTAGTTCTTTGGGAAAAAGAACTTAAAAATGAAGATTTGACGCACTTCCCGATGTGCAGCATGAACAAATCAAGTTTAGATGATACTTGTTCGTATCAAAAATACGCAGAAAAAATTGCAAATTTAACAACTGAATTTGAAATGAGGTTTAATGATTTTAGTTCCCTCGAAGACAAAATTTTTTTTGTTTTCTTCGATTTTCTCAATAAATATTGACTCGGTACTCAGCCATATGCAAATGGAGGTGATCAAGATTCAATGCAACTCAAATTTGAAAGCAAAATTCATTGAAGTGGGCGCGCCTGAATTTTACAAATATTTACCAGCCAGGTTTGAAAATACTCGAAAATTCGCATATGAAATTATTTCCATGTTTGGTAGCACTTATCGGTGCGAACAGTTATTTTCAGTCATGAAAGGTAATAAGTCTCCTATTAGAAACCGTATTAATGATGCTCACCTTGGGTCAGCATTGAAAGTTATCACTGCAAACAAAATTTCTCTCGAAATAGGAAAGATAATAGCAGAGAAGAGATGTCAAGTATCAGGACATAAACATTAAATTTTTCTTGTTCTTTTCTATATAAATATATATATATGTTTATTATTGTATTATTCGAAATAAATCTACGTTTCTGTGATTTTTTTTTTTTTTTTTTTTTTTTTTTTTTTTTTGCGGCCCGCCTAAAAAGTTAAACCTTGTTTGTTTGGCTCAAGTGTACCTATGAGTTTGGCATCCCTGGTCTAAATAATTGCAGATGCACCTTGACTGTAATAGCCATGGAGATGGTTATGAGAAGATCCTTTATACCAGCACTCGGCAACCGGTAGTGGTCCGTGAAAACGTTTTGATAATCCACAGAATTGGGACATTTATATTTTTATGAAGATTCAGTTTAAAAAATGACAAGTAACAAAACCTATTATGGAATATGGATTATACTTTAAAAAAAAAATTTTTTTAGCTACTACTTTTAGCGAAATTCTTTCTGAATTTAGCGACCTTTTAGCTACTTTTGCATGTGTATCTAACAATATTTGAAAGTGAGAGTTGACAGCCATGGATATGCTGCTGTTATTAATAATAGCACAAACTGGAATTCTCTCTCCTTTTGAATTACAAACATATGCTATTGTAGTCATTAATAACACAGTTTTTCTCTGTGTCAATAGGCAACTTGGTGGATTCCTATGAGAACCATCCACATTCTTGTTTATAATTCCATCTATGGAGGTTTCTGTTTTTGCTTTGTCTATCTGTTAATCAATGGCGCCATTGCTGAGTAAGCAATGATTATTATGTTTACTATAATTAAAAATTGGCCGCATAACACTTTCAGTTTATTGATATTGCTCTGTGTTTGTCGGTTTGTTCTTGCTTTTCATGAAGTTCCTTTTCGGTGATATGAAAATGTAAAGCTTTCTGTACAAGAAGGTAAGATTTTTGTACTTTTCATATAATTTTTCAATGTGAACGAAATATGTGTATGAGTGAGATGTTAATAGTGTTTTCATTGTTACTCAATATCAGGGCGTAGCCTGAATTTTCATAAAACATTTAATATTGTTTTTGCGTATTAATGTGTTGTTTTAAAGGTCTGATCGAAGGGTTTTTTAATTCATATTACTGGTCTGCCAAATATAAAATTATATATGTAGTGGTCCGGAAAGTTCTATGGGTTGATGACCGCTGCTGTGTACCGAACTCAGCGATGTCATACACCAGAACTTGCAGGTGACCCCCCAAAAAAGTGATCGAGACTGGATGAAACCTGCTGATTATACAAGTTAATGTATAAGTATTCCACATTCAGGAATCCTCCTTACTGTAAAATGGTGCTTAACTACTGATATTCAGACTGTCTTCTGCATGATGGGCAGACCTGTCTCCAGCATGTTTGGCACCCTAGATGATCAATACAACAAGTGCTTATGGTAAATTAAACATATTAATAATTTGAAATAAATTATATTTTTTAGTTTTGATTTAAAAAAATGTCTTAGACATCATCACCTTTCAAAAATCAATATCCTAGGTGGCTCTCTCTGTTATTTTTGCTTAGAGCATAATTTCCTAAATATCATCAGCCTTCATTCATCATTTTCAATGCATGGCAGGTCTCTGAAAGGAATCTGTCTTACTAACTGCTGATGTGACTGTGCAATATCTAGTGTTTGGAAGCACGGTTCCTTATGTACTGTTCCTGGCACACATGCACAGTGTCTTGCCTGTTATAATCTGTAGCTCCGTATGTGAGATGGATGGCTTCTAATTCTGCATTTGTACAATTAGCTTCTGTAAGCAGTTTACTAATGATAGTTTCTTAAAATGATATTTTGCAGTTCCAGATTTATACAACACAGTACAGTTCATACAACTCTGATTTTATCAATTCATAGTTATTTCATTTGTGAACTTAATAATATGTTTTATAAACTTCATGAGTATAGCCCCAATTTTGTTGCCATTGTTTGTGAAGATATTAGAAGTGAAACAATGTTAAAAAAAATATTACTAAGAAGCCTTAAATGCAAATTTTTTAGTATTGTTTAAGAAGAAACCTGTGCAAGCCAAAATAATCTGAATTACTGCTAATCTTTTGTCGATAGTTCAGTTTTTGTTTCATTTTATACATTTCAATCATAATTAATTGACTTGTTCAGTAGTAAAATGTATGTTTTCTTCTTACTTAGGAAATACTAACCCTCTGGCAAAACCAACGTCTGAAGGCATAGAAAATGTTCCAGTACTCGATATTGGTGTTGATGATGATGATGATGATGATGATGATGATGATCGTCATCCCATCCGGCGATCCATTCGCCAGGCTCTTAAAGTATGTCAACTGGAACAAGAGATAAATGTAAGATATCACTATGATAGACTGCATTGCTATTACCTTTTCTTCTGATGTAGTGTCAGCTATAAAAAAATTATATTTTTAATCCTAGAATGGTAACAATACAGGAAATTAATGTGTACTAATGTAAAAGTATGTACTACACAACTGGCTTTTATGTGGTAGAATTATTGTCAAAATAACTTATGTATTTTTTATAACGCAGGATGTGTTGTACCAAATGCTGGTGTAAGCTGCTGCATTATACTTATGTTTTGGTATATTATAAATGCAGAAGGTCTTTACACATTTTTAGAATGATTTCAGGGCCGTGTAAAATGTAAAGAGAATTTTTTTTATTATTTAGTTTTTTTCTGGAGTTACTTTTCTTTCACTTACTATAGTCTGCATTGTGATTTTTATAATTGAAAAGTTTCTTTTTCCCCCTATCTTCTTATTTTTAATATCCTATTGTAAGAGAATCCTGCAACAACCAACTTTCCCTCAGGGTTCGTAGCGGTCCTTACAAGTGCTTATAAGTCTTTATATTTGAAAATAAAATATAAAGGCACTTATAGGTGCTTACGTTTTCTTTAAAGCACTTATTTTTTTGTTTTTAGTCTTTATTTTTTGCTTTTAGTGCTTTTTTTAATGAATGCGCATTTCCCCTCCGTACCAAAGCCGAAACTAAATAAACAACTTTTCTTCCTTATATGGAACGTCAGATGGGTGAATCATACTCCCGGAAATAGCTTTTCTCCCCTTTCTCTGCATTAACGTAACCTATGGTACGCCATGGACCTTATAAAAAATAGACTAACCCAAACGGGTTTTCTCCCTCGTCCTGAGGCGTTGCCGGCTGTCACCTTGATCATATCTGGAGGAGTAGGGATGACTTGCTGAAATTTAACATTGGTTGCCTATTGCAGCGTGTATAATTGTCGAGAAGAATCTGGTTGTAGCGCCTCATTTCACAAATTAGAATTTCTAATTTTTATTTTTGAAACTGAGATTGATTTAAAAAAATTTAGCATATTTATCAAGCATAATTAGCGTTCCAAATAATTATAGAGCTATTGCATGCTTTCAGGGCAGTATATTTTTTTAGCTTTTCCTATGCTGTAAGGAAATTTGTAACTACTTCTTTTAGAAGATACTATTTTTAATCTGAACTAATAGAAAATTTCAAACAAGCAATTTTTATGCTTTTTATTGGTGTAAATAAGTAAACAATACCAAAATATATAAAAACTAATTTTTGAAAGTTTTGTTTAAAATTGTAAATTGTGCAACTTTTTTAAAATTATAGATGAGTATTATAGCACAATTTCTGTAAAGGAATTTTATTTCAATTATATTCATAATACATCATAGTGATAACACTTTTGACTCCTTAAAATTTTTAATTTAATTCTAATTAAAATTGTATTTAACCGTAATAATTAATTTTGCTTGTATTTTAATGATTATTTTGTTGTATCATAAATTATAATACGACGTTTAGCTTAAGAGAGCTTCTCCTGACGCATGCGCCGTTCGCGTTTATCCGCGCGGTGATGATGACGTACGAACTGTTTATTACGTATGTATGTATATGTATATATACCATTCTTACTTCTTCGCCTTTTTTTCTCTGCTGTATGCAACTATGTTTAAGTTAATCTCTGTCATTAAAAATGTTCATTGATATTACAATCTATTTAGGCTCATTTATTTCTTCAATGGTTATGGGCCCAGGAACGTTTCAACTGTGCCTTAATTAGCAAAATACTTATTTTAAAATGAAACATTTTGAAGTTTTCGAGCATTGAACTCTTAAGCCTAATTCAGTGCAAGAACTGTTACGTCTAATCAACGGTAAGAACTGATCAGCGTTCAGTTAAGCCTATTTTTATAGCGCTCAATCTTTTTTTTTTTTTTTTTTTTGGCTGTGAGAGACTGTATTACATTATGTCGCATTTGACTACTATAGAAAAGCTCGGAAAAGATAATTTTGACAGTTGGAAATTACAAATAGAAGCAGTATTGATTAAAAACGACCATTGGGATTATGTAACCGGTAAAGTGCTAAAACCTGCTGAAGGAACCGAAGACGAAAAGAAATGGCTCCAAGCTGATCAAAAAGCTCGCGCAGATATAATTCTTGCTATTAATCCTAGTGAACTGTGTCATATAAAGCATTGTGTGACATCAAATGCTGTGTGGAAATAAACTCAAAGCCGTATATGAATCGAAAGGACCTGCGAAGAAGGCTACATTATTAAAACAGCTTTTATTTAGAAAAATGGTCGGAAAGCGAAACGATGTCTGAACATTTGAATAATTTCTTCGAAATAGTTGATAAGCGTAAACAAATGGAAATTGACATAGCTGATGATTTATTATCGATTCTTCTGCTCTATAGTATTCCAGAAAATTTTGAAAATTTTAGATGCGCCATCGAATCAAGAGATCAGTTACCTAGTCCCGAATCTTTGAAAATCAAAATGTTAGAAGAATGTGAAGCAAGAAAAGGGAAAACGTCTCAAGATTCACAGAATGCATACTATACATACTATACTGATTATAAAAGAAGAAATCAAGAACAGAAGAAAAATGAAAAATGGAAGGTAAATTCAAACAAAAATTTTCCAGCTGAAAGAAATTTTCGAAACTTGAAGTGTAATTACTGTTCGAAAATTGGGCACAAGGCATCTGAATGCAGAAAGAAAATAGCTGATAGAAAATATGCGCAATCAAATAAGGGAAATCAAGGTTCTATGATGGCTTCTAATTATGAAGAGCAGATTAGTTTAGCAGTAAACAATGCTTATCAGAAGACCTCCTCATGGTGCTTAGATAGTGGCTGTACATCTCACATGTGCAATGACAGAAGGTTATTTTCAGAATTTCACACCCTCGAACGAATTCAACCATAAAGTTAGCAGTTGACAAAACAGCAAAAATTACAGGAATTGGAACTGTCCTTATAACAGTACCTAACGGAAATAAGACAATTAAACTTACGCTCAAAAATGTGTTATGTGTTCCGGAATTAAAATGTAATTTGCTGTCAACATCTAAAGCTACTGCAAATAATCGTTCAGTGATTTTTACAGAACGACATGCTAGAATAATAGAACCAAATGGATCTATACTAGTGCAGGCTATTCGTCATGGTGATCTTTATTATATACATCCAAGCACTGAAACACAGCTGCAATAGCACAGGTAAGTGATTTTGTAAAGTGGCATCTTAAATTAGGTCATTTAAATGAGTCTGATTTGAAAAGACTTAAGTCTGATAACATGGTTAGAAATTTAAATTTTAATAACACTGAATCTCTAAAAGACTGCAAAGTCTGTATCCGAGGTAAACAAACTGTGCAACCTTTTCAAAAAGAATCAAAATTTCAAAGTGATGAATTACTGAACTTGATTCACTCAGATTTGTGTGGACCTATGAGAGTCCCATCCCATGCTGGTTCGCGTTATTTTGTTACTTTCATAGACGACAAATCGCGTTATGTCGAAGTCAGTTTTCTTAAAACTAAAGATGAAGTGAAAAATGCATTCATTAAATACAAAGCTGCGGTCGAAAATCGTCTAGGAAAGAAAATAAAAATCCTTCGGACTGATAACGGTCTCGAATATCGCGGAGAAGAATTTAATAAATATATTCAAGAATGCGGGATTAAACGAGAATTCTCTGCACCAATGACTCCTCAACAGAATTCGAGAGAGCTGAACGCATGAACCGCACTTTAACTGAAATGGCCAGATGTTTGTTACTACAAAGTAATCTTCCCCAATCCTTTTGGGCTGAAGCCTTGAACTGTGCTGTTTATATTCGTAATCGTTGCCCGAATCGAAGCCTGGGAGTAAACAAAACACCTTATGAATTATTTTTTGGCATCAAGCCAACTGTATCTCACTTCAAAGTATTCGGACAGAAATGTTTTGTACTTAATAAAAGGTCTAAAGGGAAATTCGATCCTCGATCAGAAGAACATATATTTGTAGGATACTCAAATGAATCGAAAGCATACAGGCTGTGGAATAAAAATTCCAGAAAAATCGTTATAAGCCGAGATGTTAGATTCATTGATGAATTTGAAAACTGTACTAATTATGATAAAGATTTAGAAGTTTTATTTTCTCGAAAATATTCCTGATAAAAAGAAGGAAGAACCTCTGAATGTAAATCAAATATCGGCTGATGAAATAACAGAAGACCCCTCAAATATGGCAGAATCATCTGATAATGAAGATTCTGATTCCGAAGCACTACCTGAAATGCAGATTAAAAGGGGGCCAGGTCGTCCAAAGAAAGTCAAGACTGGGAAGCCAGGAAGACCAAAAAAGGAGTACCACAATATAAACATAGAAAAGGAAGAAGCACAAATTGCTGAAGAAGATACAAATCCGACATTAGAAGAAGCATTAAATGGAAGTTATGCTGAAGAATGGCATAAGGCTATGCAAAGTGAGTATGAAGCACTTGTTAAAAATGGTGCATGGAAATTAGTAAAGCGACCACACAACAAAAAGGTAATAGGATGTCGCTGGGTTCTTAGAACGAAATATAATGCAGATGGAACAGTTCAAAAGAGAAAAGCTCGATTGGTTGCTAGAGGATTTGCACAGGAACCTGGAATTGATTTTAATGAAACCTTTGCTCCAGTAGCCAGAGCAAGTTCTATAAGAACTGTGATTGCATACAGTGCTGAACAAGACCTTATGTTATATATCAACTAGATTTTGTTATGGCTTATGTTAACGGAGATTTAAAAGAAGAAATTTTCATGGAACAAGCTAAAGGTTTTGAAGACCAAAATAATCCTGATTATGTTTATGCTTTGCAAAAGTCTCTTTATGGTTTGAAACAAAGTGGACGACAGTGGTATGAAAAATTAGACAAAAAACTCAAAAACTTTGGATTACAACCATTACAATCAGATAAGTGTGTATACAGGATGAAAACATCTCAAGGTGAGTTAATTCTAATTTTATATGTTGATGACTTAATAATAGCAACAAATAGCTGTGATTTATATGCTGAACTTAAAGGTTATCTTTCTAAAGAATTTCATGTTAAAGATTTAGGC